GTTACTACGTAACTCTCTAATCCTGCCTCACTGACATCACAGAGATTAGGATTTACAGTGCATGTGATAATTGCATAGTACAGCGAATCGTGGCCTAGCCAAATTGAACCACCATGAGACTTGTGAGAGCTAGAAGTCGGTGAAAATTCCTTGTTTCTCTAGGTTCGTTCCTACAAATATCCTGCCTTTTTACGGGCTGCAGTTGAAAATATTTGAGTTTTCTTTCTCTAACAGGCTTTCACTGTATGTATCAAAATTATACCTGAGAGGAACAGCGGACAGGAAAGGATACATCATTGGCCATTAGACGTTCATCTGGTCTCCTGAGAGGAGGAGGGGGAATGTGCATGCAGCCTCTGAGAACCTCCTCTTCCCTGACTCCATCTGGGCATTCTGCCTGCACTAGCTCATTCAATCTCAACACCAGCCATCACATGCAGTTCAAATCCACCAGCTACACCATGGCAGAAAAATGGGCAATCTGGTGGCCTCAGTGTCCCTGACACACTTGAACCCATTGCTGCAGACCCTGTATCAGTCCATCTTGTTGAGGATCTTCCTCTCCTTTGCTGACCCTCCACATTCCCAAAAATGATCCCTTTCCAAGGTCAGCCTCTCCTAACAGCATGTCCAAAGTACATGTGATGAAGCTTTGTGATGTTTGCTTCAAGAAACACTTTCTCCAAGACATATCGATTTGTTCCTTTGGCAGGCCAGAGTTATCCAGCACTCTTCTCCAGCATCACAATTCAAATGCATTGATTCTTCTCCCGTATCCTTAGTCTTCGTCCAGCTCTCAGATGCATAGCAAGTGATTGGAACAACAGTGACTTGAATCAGGCACACCTTAGTCTTTAAATTCACATCACTGTTCTTCCCCAGTAGGAAGTTTTGTATAATTTGCATAATTACTCATTTCACAGGTGGTACAGCCGACCTGCAGCTTGGTGGGGAGGGAGGGCAGGTGGTGGTGAAATAATTGTCTGAGGTTACTTAGTTGGTTAAATGACAAAACTGACCCAACTCCAGAGGCTGTGCAAATCTCTCTGCCCTGCACCATTTTTTGTTGTTATTGTTAAGTGCCAGCGAGTTGTAGGCGACTCATAGTGACCCTGTGAATGAAAGTTCTCAATGCTTGTGTGACTTTCATCCTTTCCCCAGGTTCATAGGGTTTCTGAAGGCAAGCTATTACAGAAGTGGATGCCACTCATCCTTCCCAGCTTGTTTTAATCAGGGAGCTCCACCAACTGTCCTCTATGGGTAACCATTATTGCATTTGACTCATCAGTGTCACAGTGTTCGGTTTCACAGCAACCACGAGTTACCTCTGTACAGCAAGTGGACAGACCAGAGGTATACGACCTAGAAGAATGTTTCACCAAAAAACCAATTAAAAACAGGCCTCACCCACCTTTGGCTTGGTAGCATCACTTTCTGTCCACTGGGCCAACTGAGCTCTCTCTATGCTGTTGTTGTTACGTGCCATCGAGTCGTAGGTGACTCATAGCAATCCTGTAAACGAAAGACCTGAGCACTTGTATAACTTTCGTCCTTTCTCCAGGTTCATAGGGTTTCCGGAGGCAAGCTGTTTGGGAGGTGGATGCCACTCCTCCTTACAAGCTTCTTTTAATCGGGAAGCTCCAACACTTTCCACCATGGGTAACCATTATCGCATTTGACACCATTTGCTGCCATCTAATTTCCTTTACTCTAGCTGAAGGGATGGCCATAGGCAGTGGGGTTGGAAAAAGGATCACAGCAAAGAAATAGAGGTAGGCCAACGAAGACTTGGTAAATATGGTTCCATCTGGAGAACTGGGAGGAGCCTGGCTCATGAAAGGGGAGGTTCAGAACCAATGCTGGGCTGAGTCGGGAGGGAGCAGGCGATCCACTTTTTTTTTTTTTGTTGTGTCATCTGCCTGATGATAATGGTGACTGGCAGCTTATGGGGATTGTGTAGGGCTAGGCACTGCATGGCTTCATCATCCTAGGCAAGTCATCGTAAGCAGAATGTGTGATTACTGTTTTTACCATTACTCAGTTAGCAACCTCGTGATACTTCCAGCCTCGCGAGAGCCGCCTCCCAGGCCGCCTTGGGGCTGGGCCAGTGCTCTGCAGCCAGCCGCCCAGCCTGCAAAGCCCTTTGTTACTTTTGGCATGGGTAATAGCTTAATGTCTATTTTTCTATTTAGAAATGCAGTTTGCCAGCATCGAGGCAGCAGTAGAGGCAGCAGTAGGCACTAAAATGGTTTCGATTGCTATCTTGAATGTTAATATCCTAACCCGTCTTATCGTCCATGACCCCGTCCTCTCTGCCACCAGCGCCAGTTCCTCTTGCAGAGCTAGGCCTTCCAGCCCGACTCAGTCCTTGGTGGCCCTCCTCCCTGCTTTTCACAGATAGCATTGTATTTTACCAATAAAACCCGCAATCGTGGGAAATCTTTCACTTAGAACATATGAGAAAGTGTTTCATTTTGTCTATGGGGTTTAATGGGGATGATCCAATCTCTGAACAGTATACATTATTTAAAGTCCATACTTTAAGAAAAAAGGGCCTCTGATACATTTGAACTTTGACAGAGACAGAATTCTAGTTTGGCTATGCTCAGTGAAGCCAACTATTGGCTTTCCCATTTGTAATTCAGTGTAGGATCCGGGTTATATTTGCGGCAGAGTCATACTAGTGCATAGAGTTCTGAAGAACACGTTCTTTACCTAGAAGCCTGAACTTAGGCACTTCTGGGGGTGGAAGGGTCAGTTTTTTGTCCAGTAGGAACACCAGCTTGTTTTCACATGGATATCACACCACCACACTCACTGAGTCAGCTCCAACCTCTGGTTGCACTCACGTATGGAACTATAGGGTTTGTGAAGGTTGCTTTTTCAAAGTAGACAATCACCAGGTCTTTATTGTGAGCCACCTCTGGGCGAGCTCAGACCACCACCAGCCTTTTTGTTAGCTGCGTGTTGTGTTAACTGTTAATACTATCCAAGGACTCATTTCACATTCAAGAAGGTTGAGGTATCAGAGACAATAAAATTGGCTCAAGATAGAGCAGTATTCAGAGGTGTTGTACCTAGGGTTGCTATGAGTCATGAGTGACTTGACAACTTGACAGCACATAATAACAACAGGTCTGCTCAGGGCTTCAGTCCAGTTGAGGAACGTGATAGCCCCTGCTGCCTCAGACACCCAGAAATATCATCATTGGGCTTCTCACGAGTCACTGCTCATGAAAATGAAATCTAGAGGAAAGCTGTAAGCATGCCTCAATCACAAAGGACTTGAGTCTGCAAAGAAACTGGGCTTTCTCGCCAGGAATGACTATGGGAAGCTTGACTGTATATAGAGTTAGATGCTGGGAGAATGGAACTGGAAAAGATTAGTTTTACTCAAGATTATTTTTCTCACAAGGCATATGTGGTGCACCTGGTGTAGTCACCCCCTGCCCTAATCCCCCTCAGATGCAGCCTGTGCCTACCTTAGCTCAATATTAGGTGCAAATAAGGAATATGGTGATAACGTTCTCTGCCTGGCAGGGTAAACAGACACAGAGACAGACACAGGGCACCATGACTAAGGTGTGTGTGGTAAATGGTGGGAACACAGCTGAGGGAGCAATGGCTTCCGGCTGAGAGTATCTGGAAAGACTACGGAGAGGAGGTATCCCATAGGCTGGTGTTTCCTGGGCATTAATTGTCATTCTTCCTCTTTTTTGGGGGGGATCATGGGGAAAATAGAAAAGGAGTGTTTTCTGCCCTCAAGGAATTCACAGCTTGCGGAAAAGGCCTGCCTGGCACTTCCGAACCAATTAAATTTCTGCAAAGACAGACTGTGGAGGTGGGGACAGGCCGCAGTGGGTACTTTGTGATCCAGGATTCCCGGAGTTCCTGCTGTCTCTTATGGAGAACACAGCATCTGTGAGGATCCTTGAGTCCTTACACGAGTGCACTGAAGCACAGATGTGGGTCTCTCTGCCTTTTCTCCTGTGTCAGGTGACACTAGCTTGACTCTGTGTAGGAGCTGCAGTTAGCTGCGTCTGGAAGGGGGAGGGAGCTGACCTGAGAGGGTGGACTGTGGTGACAGAAATAACTTGGCTGTGTTGACTTTCTTCACGATTCTGGTGGAATCTTGGGCTCGACAAACAGGTGGGGTCATCCATATCAACCTGAGCTCTGGGTTCCTCAGTTCGGCACAAATCCAGACCACATGTGCACGGAAGCTGTGCTGGGGCTGTTCCTTCCACCCTGCACACCTTCCCTTTTCTGCATTCATGAAGTCTTTCCAGTGCTGCCACTATTTAAGTCACATTAGGGACTATTTCGGTTATTCTCTGTTCCTCCTCATTTATATGGGTTCAGCATTGTTCCATGTTTGTTAACTTCCCAGTGAAATTGTACGCATCTTGAAAGCAGGGATAATGTCTTATGTGTCTTCTCTTACCCTTGGGAGACAGTGTGTGGGCTTACCTAGAAAGTTTAGGCTTAAAAACTCAGCTTTGCCTCTCACCATGCAGCTGTGAATAGCTTTCCAATCTATGAAAGGGGTTAACTTAGAGTTTCTCAATCTTGACATTGCTGACATTTTTGGATTGAATAATTCTTGGCTTAGGATGGCTTAGGGTGGGTGGGCACTGTGCATTGTAGACTATATAGCAACATCTCTGGGTCAACTCATTAGATGCCTATAGCATGTCATAGCCCCCACCCCTAGTCTCAATGATTAAAATGTCAGCAGACATTGTCAAGTGTTACTTGAGAAGAAAATCATTCTCTGGTTGAATATGCAGAGATCCCCTGCTGTAGCACTGACACCAAGTAGAAGTACCAATTCTTTTTCCTTCCAGATTCACCTAGGACTTGACACATTGCAGGGTGATGCATAGAATGATGTTCTTCTGGGTTTTAGCAATTTGGGGTGGAAATGTGGTATAAAAAAGAAAATCTCTGGGTGCCCAAAGGATGCACTAACAGCGTCACTGCCATGTTCTTAATTGCAGATTGATCTGGAGCCAGAAGGAAGAGTGTATGTGATCATTGATCTCTCGGGGTCGTCCGGTGAAGGTAGGAGAGTGTAATCTCATGTCTTCATTCTCCTGTGTTGATTTTCTTTTGTCTTCTGAGTCAGTCTTTCCCCTCTTCACTGGGACATATTATAGTATCATTTAATTTGTTGGCGCAGATTAAAGGAAGCGGTTATTTGGAAGGCACTTGTGCCTGTGTACCAAAGGGACCAGCCATCTGTCAGCTCTGGTGGAGCAAGGAAGATTTTTACTTCCGAGGCTGGGCCAATACAACAGGCCTTTTGTGCACAACGTGTGATTTGGTGAAGTGTCCATGTCTCTGTGGAGTGCCTGTCTGTATGCAAAGCAGAGCTCTTTACAAAGGAAGGAAAACTAGTTGCTGTACAGGTATTCAGAAATGAAAGAAATAAGGCGTCAAATTGCAGAACTGTGTTTTTATGGAGTTTGATATGTTTTCTAGTTCTTTTTCAAGCTGCTCACCTAGGAAAAAGGCCTGCTCCTAAGGCAAAATCTTGGAAAAGAAACTTTGACTCCCCATGGCTGCTGAGAAGAGTTTGTTTTTTTTTTTTTTCCTTCCCGCCCCTGAGAAGAGTTTTTGATTGATTGTTGGCTTTCTTTTCTTTTTTTGCATCTTTTGTCTCAATTCTTTCTTTGCTCACTGAATACATTTCAAGGCTTCATTGTGTGGCAAGTCGGTAGATGGGAAGGACATAAGATAAAACTTGTGCGCATAAGTACAAGGAGATTGTGGTGGGCGTGAGCTCTAGGAAGTTTGGAATTAAGGCTGAAATTCCTTTACTGAGGTCATTGTTCTCCTCATCCTTCTGTCTCTCCAGGGGAATGGAAGAATTTAATTTCATAGGAGACTGAGTCTTGGCAGAGTAAGGAGAGGAGCTAGAGAATGACACTGGTCACCTGCTCCACATGAGAGCGGTCCTGCGTAAAACATGCCTGACACTAACAGCATGCTGGATTTGCCAAGGACAAACACCCCCAGATTCTTGGCAGTGACAGTAACAGAGCTGCTGTGCCCCAAAGCAAAACAGTCAGCTCCCTCAGATCCTTGTGACTTGAAGACCTTTCACAGTATCTCCCTAAAATATGGGGACACAAGGCACAGAGAGTCACAAAGCCTCAAGGTCTCCCCCGTAATTTTAAGGAGATGATGATGCCATGTGAAGATAATGCCTAATGAGCTTCATTTAGCTAACTCATAACACAATTCCAACAGGTGAATAGAAGGATTTTGTGTCTGGAAGCATTGGGAAGAGAATGGAAATCAGTCGTCTTTTTGTAGATCACAATTCCTTAACTATTACAATATTTAATATCCTTCCAAAATTGATCTTTCACAATGTCTGCTCTTAATTGCAATTTTCACTTTGACTTTTCTAATTGGATTCTGTGCCTGGAGCATGGAAAAGCCTAGAATAGAATCTGTTAGAGATGATTTGAGAATGTCACAATATTCAATATGGGATAGTTCAGGCTAAACCAAAGTCTAAAGAATAATAAAATGGCTAGCTGTGTAGCCACAGCTTGGATGAGGAAATAATGCTGGCAGCAAACTGAAACCTTGCTGTGGCTTTTAACATGACGTTTGATCCCTGGTTCCCCTGACTGAGTGTGTTACAGTGCCCTCCTGATTGTAGATCAGCAGAACATTCACAACATTTGATGGACAAAGTCATTTTTTCCCTTATGTAATCTTTGTGCAGGGATGGTATTGGTGGTGGTGGTGTGTATCATCGAGTCAGAACAATACCAAAGCTGACCCTCTAACAGGTTTTCAGAGGCAATAAATTGCATGAGAGTTGATTGCCTGTCTTTCTCCAGGGAACCAGTTGATGGATTCGAACTGTGTGCCTTTGAGTTGACAGTGTAGTTCCTTGCCTCTAGACCTCTAGAGCTCCCATATGCAGCAGGCTTCATTAATCGATTACATATGTGTATCTTGTGCCAGGAAGTTAGGCTACCAATGGAAGGCTTAGATTATCATTACTTTTACTTTGTAGAGATTAATGACTTGTATAGCTATGGAGGGAATCCTCTTTTTACGTTAGCGCAAAGGAGATGGATAAATGAATGAAAAGAGATATCAGAAGCAAGTGACTTTTTTCTTCTTCTTGCTTCTCTAGCATGTGTGAATGGTCAAAGCAGTTTTCACTGGGCTAAATTCTTGGACTGTTTTTTTAATCTCTTTCATCTAAAGAAAACAGAGTTTACTTTAGAAATGCTGACACATGCCAGCGTCTGTAAGTGCCTGCCATGTGTTGCTCTGAAGAAAAGAAGAATTTCTGTTTTCTTTTTTCCTTGCTGTTCTTGGACTTCAGATCCCATCTTTGGATGGGGAGAAGGCCTTTCAGTAATCCGCCTAGAAGCTGAGCTTGTTGTGTTGCACATGTCTGTTCTCCTTGGCCTGCTGCTGGTCTGGAGGTGGTTTTGGTTTTGGAAGGTGGAAGGGTTGGCAGCCTGAGGAGAAGAATGGGGCATGAGAAGCTGTAACATTTGCTCCCTAGTCCACAGGAGGAAGGGCTAGTGTAAACCATGACCATTACAGACACCCTGTTGAATATATTGACTAGACCTTTTCAGGTTTGTGTATAAGCCCCTGTCTTTAGAGAATATATGTAAACTTGTCTGCAGAAGGGTGAGAAGAATATTGAAATGAGCCTCCTGGAAGTTTTCAGCATTCAGTATTATTCTGCTGCTCAGCAGATCGTCAGCTTCCCCACCTCAAATGCTCCAGTTCCATCAACAGATAATCATGTGTTATAGAGATTATACAAACTTTACAACACTTGCAAGTATGGGAGATTTCAAAGAAAGATGTGCAGTTGAGACTGTGTAAATGATGCTTCCTACTTCTAAGGGTGTAAAAAAAAAATCAAATGGTTTTCTTGCTGATGTTTTCTTGCTTTCTATAGAAAGCCTGGTTGTTTTCAGCTGCTTGAGCTTGAGCTAATATAATTTCTATCATGCAATGAAATTCCACTGCTTGCATGTCTGGTGAGTTCTCCTTAATGGAATTTGACCAGTGTGCACTTTAGTTAAACCAGCTTCCTGATCCCAAATGTAAGAAGTCAGGATGGATGTCCACGCAGGTCATTTCTGGTCAGGTGATTTATCCTTTGGTATAGTTTAAATAACTTATCTGCCAAAGCTGACGCTGGCTCACATCCTCAGAGGTAGAGGGAGATTCTGTGTGGCAGGTGCTCTACCTGCATTATTCCAAATAGCAAACCCCTTCAGAATGCTTGTGTGTGAAACCTCTCTAATCAGTTACATCATTGGCTTTGTCTTTTATTGTAAATAATAAGTACTTGACTTCCTAATAAATAGGGCTCTAGATAGTCACCATGCACTTAATTCAGTATATGTAACAAGCATAAAAGGAAAGTAATGTCAGCTGTTTTGTGTCCGTTACTTGGTATTTCTTCCTTTGCTATGATGTTACTGTCTTTTCTTTATGATGATATGACAGCGTGACCTTACTCACAGGCCTCAGATGCGTGGAGGCAGGCCCTATCCTGGATTTCTGGGCTGGCTTTCCCCTGCCCTCCAGCCAGCTGCAAGCATTCGCTCATGAGGCTCTTCACATCCAACAATAGCAATAAAAATTCGACCGCTTTTCGTATGTTTGGATCACTGTTTGAGCAATAAAATACAACAGATACAGATCATTTGCATTCCTTTTGCATCACATAATCACAAATCATTCCACTTCTATCCCTAAAGTACAGAGTGATTGTGTGTTGAGGAAGCAGAAGGTGAAGAGCAGAGAGTAGGATCCCCACCCTCTGGGGGGAAGAATGGTGTTCTTTCTGCAGCTTCCTGCTCCCTAGTAATGGCATTCCGCCTCCCCTCTGGGACTGGCAGCAGATCGAGTGGGAAGAGCAGGGCTGTTGGAGTTCAGACTTGGATTGGATTTACATCCTGGCTGTGGTGTTTACTAGCTTAGAGCATCAGAGTTCTCACCCTCGGAATGGGGTTAATAGTGCCAAGGCGACAGCGTTGCTATAAGGATCATGTCTTGGTAGAGTGCCTTCTCATATAGGAAATGCTCAATAAGTATTCTCAGGACGTAGAGACCTGAATTCAGGGGAGTAAGCGTGGTTATACCCAGTGCCCAGGAAAGCATGCAGAGAACATATTGAAGCCAGGTTTCTGACGCTAGGGCGTGGCATGTTCTGCAGAGCCAGAACAGAGCAAAGCAATGGGGAGGCAATTTATAGCGTAATAAATGTGCACTAACGATGAGATGGCTTCCTGCGGAGTTCAGACAGTGCCATTTTTTTCCTGCCCTGCCTCTTCTCTCTTCTTCCACACATGAGATGGTTCCCAGAAGAACATTCTTTAGCCTCCCTGAGCTGCTCATTTGTATCCTGTGATTCTTAAAGCCAGAAAGTTCTCTGTACCAGAATCTCAACTGACCTCATCTCTGCTCAGTTCAATTGAGAACATGTGGTCCCCACACATTCATCTACCTCTAGACAAACCCCTTCATTTTTCTGAATCGTTATTAAATCTCTCTTCTTCAGGCTGAAACCATCTAATTTCTTAACTTTCTGATGGGATATTTTAGAAATTTTAACTCATTTTAGCAGAACTATTCTGAACTTTTTCCAGGATAGACAGACATGATCTAACCACAATAACAATAACCGGTTGGTAGAGGCTTTATCAAGTGCTAAGAATATTATCTCCATGTGAGAGATGGTAAAATGGAGGGGCTGCATATGTGCCCAAGATCAAAGTGTTGATGAAAAACCCCATTGAGTCTAGACTCCAACCTGGCCTCTAGTCCTGTGCTCCAGGTCATTACCCCAGAACGAGCTTGACAACATGATAATGACGTGTCTATTTATTCTTCCTTGTTTGTTCTTTTCTTCATAAAGCTTTTCATGGAAGTCGAAAGCTTAAATTTTTAGCTTTGAATCAAAAGATGACCCAGGTAGTCCCTTTGGTTAAGCAGCAGATTCCTGTCTCACTCTTGTTGAAAGGAAGACTGTGTTGGTCCCAGTGCAGTTAGGCTGGGCC